AATAAATCAAATGATTTTTTTCCACCACAGCAATCTGTTTGGTTGTATAGGTCCAGTGCAGAGGCCTCCCCATGCCATTGTGTCTGTGGATGTTGTTGATATTTTTGCTGACTTGCCACATTTTAGCTGAGCTGTTGCTTGCTATGCAGTAGGCAAACCTAAATGTAAACTAGCTGGCATCAGCTAAACTGAGATGTAGCATGAAACAGCTTAATCAGTAACGTCCTTATCTAAGCCACAGTTCCAAACCTCTGACGCTTGGGTCAGTCCCAGGAAATATGGCCATGTTCACAGGGAGTCATCTGGCCCATGTGAAAAGCGGGACACCCCTAAATTTAAAACTATTTGTCCTGCTGCACCAGTTCTGATCATCCATCCGAGTGTGTAAGTGAAACACGGGCATTTGCATCATGTCCCTGCTTGGAAGCACAGGCAACTCCTTGACCTGACCCCTCCTCTTACTTCCCAGACCACGGCTAAACAGTGCTCCACCCTGCCTCCCTCACATCCCACCCTTCACACTCCCCTCACACCTCAGTCTTGCTTCCCAAAAGTCCATGCAGTCTTGTGAGGACCCTTCCTCCAAACTCCATTCAGAACAACAGGAATATGTATGTAGTGCCCACTGCTTAATCTAGAGCCATGGTTCTCAACCAGGACTACGTGTACCCTTGGGGGTACGCAGAGGTCTTCCAGGGGTACAGCAACTCATCTAGGTATTTGCCTAGTTTTACAACAGGCTACATAAAAAGCACTAGCAAAGTCAGTACAAACTACAATTTCATACAGACAATACTGCTGTATATACTATACACTGAGATGTAAGGACAATATTTATATTCCAATGGACTTATTTTATAATTACATGGTAAAATGAGAAAGAAAACAATTTTGCAGTACTAGTGTGGCTGTGACACTTTTGTATTTTTCTGTCTGATTTTGTAAGCAAGTAGTTTTTAAGTGAGGTGAAACTTGGGGGTACGCAAAACGTAGAGGGAGAGCAGGGAAACACCATTCACTTTCAGGAGAGGCCCACAAAACGCCCTGCCTTCCTCCAATCTCCCTCATTCAGAATAGCAGTTTATGGAGAGGAGTGTTTCCTACAATGCTAGCCCATGCAGCCTTTGCAGGCATTACTCCAGGGCTGGGACCTAGCCAATCTGCAGCTCCCTTGGCTGGCTTTCTGTTTTTCACAAACAGCTGTCAAGAAGAATGAATATTTTACTCAGCCCGGCTCCAGAAGGAAAAACTCTGTTTGAAGAGACATTAGCCTCTATTAACAAACACTAAACATCCAGGATGAGGGCAATCTGGTTGTCTGGAGTCAAACAACTAGCTCCTAGCCAAATGTTCCTCAGACCTGGGACTGATCCAGCAAACTCCCATTGACTTCAATGATTGAATATGTGGTGTCCTGGACCAAAGGGGCACTAATGAAGGGTCTGTCTATACTGCACACTAGGCTCAGGTCTGTGGGGCTTGTGGACCCGAGTTTTCCAAGCCTATAGTTGAGCATGCACACTGCACTGTAAACCTCATGGCCACACTAACAAGTTCACAATGCATGACGTAGACCTTCTGACTCAGGTCTGTGGCTCAACCTGCGTCCACATTACAAAATGACAGGGCTTTAGACCTGAATTTCAGTGGGGTCCTACGACCCAGGTTCTGAGTGCTTGCTGACATGAGTCAGACTGATTTGTGCATGTACAGAAGGGGGGCTTGGGTTCAAACCTGAGTCAAAGCCTGGTCTTAGTGTGCAGTATAGACATAAATTTAGATGCTGGGCCAGCTACTCCAGTGCAGGATCAAGGCTGCTGTGTGATTATACACATTCCTGACTGGTAAGGGGGATAGGATAGTGGCATCGTCAAGGATGGGTCTGAAATTGGAACCTGACCTGAGTTCTTTAGCTGCCTGAAATAGAAGCAGTATCCTGGCTGAAGCCAAATTTAATTGATGGTACAGACTGAGCATAGGGGAGAGATTGAAAATAAGGAAGGACATTCAAGCACGTGTGTCTGGAAGCCAAGTCTGTGGGGTAAAAGGCTGATTTCCCCCTCTACTTTGTGGGGCTGGAGTCTGTATGAGTGCATCCATGGGCAAGCAGCCTGCCTTCGTACCAAAAACATGCTAAGAACATTTATGCCTGAGCTATCTAGACATAGAATTTGCTGTTGACCAAATTCAAGGGTCGAGATGGGCCCAAAGCACAGTCCTGCCAGCTCCAAACACTCCTGGCCCTTTGGTAGATGTTTGAATCAGAGTTTTGCTATGGACTCCTGCCCACGTTTTTGTTTTGTTTTTAATAATAACTGACCAAACTAAAACCCCAGCTCTGAATACCTCATAACTTTGGCTCCAAACCGTGCAGCAGAGCCCATCTCTCATCAAATGTATCATCAGTTTAATATCGGTTACCTCCTCTAAGGGGGGAACTAAGTCCGCTCCTTGTAGGGGATGGCTCCTAGGAGCTAATCATTCATCTTCATCTCTAGTTACTCCATTGCTGTAACAGGTCAGACCACTGGTCCATTAAGTCTATTCTGCCAGTAGAGGCCACTACCTGATGCTCCAGAGAAGGGCAGAACCTGCACATAATGCACTTGCCCATCTGTGCAATGCTTTACATAGGTAGAAGTTCCTTCCTGACCCTTGTGTCAACCAGCTTGTACCGTGGAGCTTGAGATTTGTATATGCTTAGCATGTACAATTACAAAGGTTTTGCTAAGATGTATCTTCAAAGCAAATGCTGTATTGATTGAGCTGTAGGGGGGTAAAGTGATATTTAGGGCAAAAAAATTTCCACCCATCACTGTCCACCTGCCCCTTAGATACTAGAATTTGCACCTGGAATCAGCACAAACCCAAGGCCAACATTTTCAAAAATGGCTACTAATTTTGGTTGCCCAGCCTGAGACACTTAAGGTCTGATTTCTGGAGTTGCTGAGCACATGCAGTGCCTGCTGATTTCAGCTAGCGTTTTAGGTGAAAGTGGGCATGGGATGTCTCAGGTTGGGCTCCAAACAATGGAAGTTCCCACAATTAGTGGCCACTCTTGGCCTAAACTGCTTGTTTGTCCTCCCGAAAACTCCAATTAAATCCCACAGCTTGGGCACCGAACAGAGCGGCTCCATGTAACATGAATTCACCCCACCTCCAGCAATCCTGGCACCAGCACAAGCTTGCAATTAGGGTGCCCAGACAGCAAATGTGAAAAATCGGGATGGGGGTGGGGGGTAATAGGAGCCTATATAAGAAAAAGACCCCAAAATCAGGACTGTCCCTATAAAATCGGGACATCTGGTCACCCTACTTGCAATGGGCTTCATTTCAAAACCTCTGTATAACCCCTAGGGAACTGATCAATAAAGGACAGGCTAGGGAAACAGATTGTCCCCAAATAACATCCATGTTCAATGCAAGTCAGGCTGGGTGACAGAAGAAAACTAGATAAATTCATGGAGGGTAAGTCCATTAATGGCTATTAGCCAGGATGGGTAAGGAATGGTGTCCCTAGCCTCTGTTTGTCAGAGGGTGGAGATGGATGGCAGGAGAGAGATCACTTGATCATTGCCTGTTAGGTTCACTCCCTCTGGGACACCTGGCATTGGTCACTGTCAGTAGACAGGATACTGGGCTGGATGGACCTTTGGTCTGACCCAGTATGACCATTCTTATGTTCTTAAGGGGTGCTTTGGTGCAGAAGTGACCTCCTGTCTAGTTTGTCCTCAGATGTGGTCCTGTGCGGAATTCTGGAGCGTAAACTGGTATAAACCCCTAAAATTTCTCCCTCAGCTAATTCCAAGGACTATTTACCCAACTGGATACACAAGGATTATGAAATGCATTGCAGGACATGTTTGATTAGTTCAGTCCTTACACAGTTCAGTGCAGCTGTCAGAATAAATGACTTCGGGGGGAGGGGGAGAGTACACATCTGATTAAGTAACTCAATAGTTCAGCAGTTCCTAAACTTTAAACTCACGTTGTGTGGGATAAAAAAGCAGGAAGGCCTTTTAAAATTAACCATTCATGGACAAACAATTAGATTAAAAACAAAACAGCATTTCCCATTCTTCAGCTTCATGCAAGCCCCAGAAAGCCAAGTTTAAGTGAAATCTGCAACTCCCGTACCTGTTTTAGCTGTGGCTTTCTTAAGTCATCACTGCTAGGCAGCGGAACATTATTGAAACTGGCAGAGACAGCGAGGGCAGAAGTACTGGAGATTTTATTGACATGATTGATCTATCTAAGCACCTTCAATGTAAAATCCATTGCAATAGCAAAGTACTTAGTGGACTTCATGGAGTCTCTGGCATTTCTCCCTTTTTGGGGTAAAACGCTTCTTGCAAGAGGCTCTGATTTTATTATTCATTTTGGTTTGGGGATATTAGTGGTAGGGGTTTATTAGGCAGGGAGGGGGTGCAGGTTGCCAAGGTTGTTCTTACAACATTAGCATAGTCTAATGAACAGGACTGCAGCATGGCAGACAGGAGACCTGGCGTCTATTCCCAGCTCTGCCACTGACTTGCTATGTGACCTTGGGCAAATCACTTGAGGCCAGATTTTAAAAGTATCGAGGCACCTAAAAATGCAGCTAGACACCTTAGTGGGATTTTCAAAAGCAGTTTGGTGCCCACATCCCATAGATTTTAATGGGGAAAATCTGGCCCCGCTGGTGGGAGTTGAGTACCTGTAGGTCCCATTGATTTCAAATATAGCTGTGGATACTCAGTACCTCTGAAAATTAGTCCCTTAACCTCTTTCTGCCTCAGACTCTGCGAAACGGCTCTGCGTTGAGCTCTGAGGCAGAAGAACGTTAAGTGTTAATATTTGCAAGGCACTGTTGTACGGAAGCTCACATCCCTGCCAGACAGGAAAAGTGGGCAGAAAAGTATAGATCACGTGCATGTCAGAAGGTGACCTCAAGGGCATTAGTGGAGTAACCTTCTGTTTCATTAGGACTAGCAGCCTCTGTGAGCAGATCAATAAAATGCTTTTAGCATGTGTAGCTGGGAGCTCATGTAAAATATCCCTGGTGGTGGCAATTGTTTCAGGAGGGAGGGGACAAGGATGGGACAGATAGTGGAAGGGCTGGACTTTGAGTAAATTGTTATTTACACTTTCTGGGATTGTCAAAGAAATACATTGCCCAGCTCGGTTCTGATTTCAGACATTGCAAGAGCCATGAGGATTCCAGCCACCTTGCTGCACCTGCTCCTTGTGCATCTCAGCGCCTCTCATACAACACACTGGACATACAAAGGTAATGAGTACAAGCAACAACTGCTTTTTAAATGCTGCTGGCTCCACCAGGCTGCTAACACAGTCACCTGTGGTTGGAGCTAAAGCTTGGCTTTTCAGCTTATCTATTAAAACAACAACATGGCAGCTAATTAATTTCACTTCATTGAGGATCGTGTATCTTAAACACGGTTCTTTTCACTGCCAACCTTCTCGATTCCTTTGTGTGATTGGGACACATTGTCAGACAGAACAATAGGTTGCAAACAACGAGAAAAATCTTTACAGGGCTTTAGAATAAAAGCTGACCTTTTGCTGAGCCGGGAAAGAAAAGAAGAGCTTTCCCTTTAGATAACTGCTTGCTCACTATTTTACTTTCACAGCCTGCGGAACATGGATACAGAGGCAGGGGGCTGCTTGTTTGCATATTTGCCCTCACGTGAAATTTTGCTTAATTCTTAGTTCTTTTCAGAATCTGATTCTGTTGAAGTCAGTGGGAGTCTTTCCACGGATTTCAATGGGCTGGGAAGCAGGCTGCCACAGTGGGGGAAACTAAAGTTCTTGATTTAAAATTTTTTTTAATTGCAGTTAGCACACTGGGCTGCTTACAACAATTATCTTAAAAATCTTTTCACCAACATCTCCTGAACATCTGTGCAATTACCTCACTGATGCATGTCTGGGAATGAAACAAACTACAGTACCTGCAAAAACTGACTTTCCCAAAGTAAAATGAAAGAAAAGAAAAGGTCTCAGATGTTGAAAGAGGTTTATAACGATGCAGTAATAATAAATAAATAGAAAAACATTGGGCAAATGCTGAAATAGCTTTGAACAATTAAAAGATTTTTTTTAAAAAATGGTTAAAAAGCCAGGCCATCACCCTGTACTGTTGAATTCTCAGGGGGAGATTTCAGCAACAGCTTAAGGCTTTACCTTGCTGTGGTATTCTGAAATTCTGACTCTGAAATAGATCAATGTGCTATAAATGGCAAAGGGAACTGCTGGAAAAGGAAGAATGGATTTCCATATTGATTCTAAGCCAGAGCAGTGACAGAGGACATAAAAGTGCCATAAAGTCCTGAATACAACAGTACAGCGAGAGCAAAGCCTCCAAAGATTAAAGCAGTGCTTAATTATTTGGATGGCACTGGAGTTGCGGGGGGGGGGGGGGAGGCGTTAAATACTTAGATTGAATTGAAGTGGAAATTGAAGCAGAAATGTTATTGCTTTATATATTAAAAGGGAGGGAATGTTAGCTAGTGATTTAGAGCAGATGAGTGGCGAACCAGGACTCCTGGGTTCTATTTCTACATCTGTGACCGACTCACGAGTGTGAGAAGACACTTAAACTCCCCCATGCCTCAGTTTACCAATGTATAAAAAGGAATTAATATTATTTACCTACCCTAAAGAGGTAGTGTATGGTTTAATCAGTGAGAATAAATCGGTTTGTTATCCTCAAATGAAAGGTGGGACTGAAAGTGCCAATTCTTATTAGTAAAGCATTGACCAGTTACTTTCTTAGCAAAGAGCATTCAAGGGACCAAAGAAGCTCTAGCCAGCAAACTAGACAAAAGTTAGGCAAAAACACGCAAGAGGTTTAATTTATTTGAAACCCTCTCTCCTTTTCCATTCCTTATTTCCTTGATAGTGCCTATATAATTTAAAAAAAAAAAAAAAAAAGAATTTGCTGACAATCCTCCGTGGGCCCCCACCTCTGAGAAACTGAGACAATTGGCTTAGCGCTGTTCACAGCTTTCATTGTAGAAGAACCAGACTTCATGCCTCTGGCCCCTGGAATAGCTATAAACATCACGGTCTGTATAAACCCCACTTCTATTTCAATACAGGTTCAGCCTCCAGCCATTAGTAGAGATGGGATATTAGGGGAGGCAGGTTTCCTGCCTGGTGGTGCAGTTGTCATGCAGCCAGAATGATGCATATTGTCACACTAGGGAAGGCAGATCAGCCTTTCAGGCACGCAGTTCCTGGCGTTATAATAATCAGAGGGGGACGCTCTGCGGCCCTGCTGCTGAGCCAGGAACAACTCATCGCCAATGAGCCAGCAGCACTCATGCTGCTTTGTAAGAGCCTGCTCTGCTTCTCCTCGGCCTTGCAGCAGGAGAGCTGGATGAAGTGCACTGGGGAAAGCACTTTGCAGCCTGCGCTGGCAAGCACCAGTCCCCCATTGACATTCAGAAGAGGAAAGTGAGGTACAACCCGCAGCTGATGCAGCTCGAGCTGAGTGGTTACGATGGACCTTTGCAGGGGAACTTCACCATGACCAACAACGGGCACTCAGGTAAGCAGCAGGGGCTTGTCCAACTACCTTCCCTGCCCCAAGGAGGAGGGCAACAGGGCTGTGACATCACTGCTAATCTCAGGAGGGTGGCAGGTTACCGCCTCAATACAGAACATAAGAATGGCTGTACTGGGTCAAGCCAAAGATCCATCTAGCCCAGTATCCGGTCTACTGACAGTGGCCAATACCAGGTGCGCCAGAGGGAGTGAACCCAACAGGCAATGATCAAGTGATCTCTCTCCTGCCACCCATCTCCACCCTCTGACAAACAGAGGCTAGGGACACCCTTCCTCACCCAAGCAGGGACTGGAGCATCTCTCCTTCCATAGCCATGGACAATTGACACTACATCTAACCCTAACCAGAGGCTGTAGAATTACCTGGAAATGGAGAACAGGCCTTGGGATTTTCACCTTTATTACCTCATAGAATGACCTAGACAGTCACTATGGCCCAGTCCTGCTCCCCCTGGAGTCAACAGCAGAACTTTAGACCTCTTGGCCTGATCCCAAGAGGGGCTGAACCCTACAACCCCCATGGGCTGCACCGGCAATTACGAGGGTTTGGCCATTAATTCCCATTAGGTAGGGAACAGTAGGCTCTATGCCAGGTGCCAAGCAGCTGTTGGGTGAAATTCACCCCTTGCCGAGGCCTATCTGTTGTAGGCTTCACAGGGACTCAAGTGGTGCTGAAGCCTTGGCCTCCTCCAGTGCAAAGGGGTGAATTTTACCCTCTGCTGTCTTTTTCAATGCAAGAAGCGATGCAGCAGGCGGGCAGGTGTAGGGAATAGATCTTTACCAAGTGTGCAGATAGTCCAACGTTACCGTAGAGAGGCCCGTCTGTCCAGTAGCAGCCTGGCCAGTTGCCTTCCATTCCTGAAGGCCAGATGTCATACCCAGCAAAGTCCCTCCTGAAAACTGACCCTCTTTCTCCAGTCCCACTATCATATCTGCAGGATTGGGCCCAATGTTTGTGATTTGTTCATGGGAAGAGATAGAAAACCCTCCCTAGGGTATAGATATTCATTAGTGGGGATCACCCTAATCACACACTGTTCCACCTTTAAATAGTAAATACGGCCGGCCTGGAATACATGCCCTTACATTTCAAATGGTGCCAAGTAGGATGGATTCATTATTACAGTATCGTCAGTGTGTGCTTAAAACCCCACTCACACATTGGTAGAGCAGAACTTTGTCACATATTCCCTGGCATATGCATTGGCATCTTGCCATGGCTAGTCATCCCATTATTGGCCCATCACACCCTGCATCCCTTTTCTGGTAGGCTAGGTAGCAGGCATGTGCCATGAATTAGCTGGTTGGCAGCAGCATGGATTCCTGCCAGTGAGGGGAGAGAGTCTCTCTCCTTGCTGAGCAGATACTTTTAGAGAGTTATTCAGGGCACGTGTGTGCAGAAAACCAATTAACATGTGGGGAATATTTTTAGCTGACAGAAATCCTACTCTCAGGGCTAGTCTACACTTACCCGGTAGTTCGACGGCTGCGGATCGAAGTTCCGAGTTCGATTTATCGCGTCTGGTCTGGACGCGATAAATCGAACCAGGAAGTGATCCCCGTCGACTGCGGTACTCCAGCTCAGCGAGAGGAGTACCGCGAAGTCGACGGGGAGCCTGCCTGCCGCGTGTGGACCGCGTCTGAACCGCGGTAAGGTCGAAGTAGGGTATGTCGAATTCAGCTACGTTATTCACGTAGCTGAATTTGCGTACCTTACTTCGATTTGGGGGGTAAGTGTGGACCAGCCCTCAGACAAGGTTGTTTTTCCGAGCTCTGCTGTCCTGATCTTGCTTATTTCAGTTTCCCGCTTTGTCATCTCATTCTGGTCTCCTAATTTTGCCCATTTCCCCAAACTGCTGGAAAAGCCTGTCAGCAACACACATACAATCAAGAGAAAGAAGAGTCTATTTGCATTTCTCTATGAGACGTTGGTTGGGGGGGGAGAGAGAGAAGGAGAAGAGGGATAGAGGGCAGATTCAGCATTATACACTGGCATTTTGTTCGTGTATACGAGTATTAGAACTACAATACCTTGCATTTTGGGCCTGCTTCTCCCTGGCTTTGCACAGTCATCATTTGCTCCTGTGCCAGGTGAGTGTAAAATAGAATTCTGCACTCACATCCATGGAAGGTTAACTAGGGGATGATTTGCAACCTCTGTGCACAGACATAAATGACAAGGTACCACGAGTGAAAGGGGAAATCAGACCACCTGTTTTCAAAACCACTTCTAAAAACCCTTAAAGTAATTCACACAACAACCCTCCTGTGAGGTTGGCAAGTAATATCAGCCTTGTTTTACAGGATAGAAACAGAAACCCTGAGGGGCTTGATGTCAGAGTTAGGTGCATGCCTGCCTACCTTTGAGGTGTCTGGACCTATGTGAGTTGCTTGAGGCCCCTTGGTGAGTCAGAGCTGGCTTAGAATTTGGGAGTTCCTGGCTCTTAGCCCTCTGCAACATCCTACCTAAATGATGCATCCCTCAGTAAAGAATTTCCTGGCATTGAGGGCGGGGGGAGAGATATTTCAGTCTTCCATCAAAGGCAGCTGGAAGATAAGAGATTCCCCATCTTCTGTGGAAGATCTTATTCCAAATGGATATTCCTTCACTCCATCTGCACAGGGAGAAGGGACAGATGCAGGGGAGGGACACAAGTGATGAAACATACTGTCTCCTGAGCGAGACCGCTCTAGTTGTACCTCTAAGAATCATAATGGTTAAGAATGCCTATTTATCACACTTACACCCAACCGTTCACTTGAGGCTTCTGGGTCAGTGTTATCTGCTCCACTACCTGCAAATTAATTCTTGCAGCTTTATCTTTCAGGGCTCTCACCATTTTCCTACACTCTCGTTAACATCGAACTATTGACTTGCCAGCCAAGCCCATTTTAATAAGGAATGTGAGCTAAATCCCAGAGTCCTTATGCACAGCTGTATTGTAGTCAAGCAGAATTTTGCTACAGACTTCATGGGGAGCGGGAAAAGACTCATAGTGCTCTCAAGCAAGAGCCTCAAGCCAGGTCTACACTCACAGTAGAGTCAACCCAGCTATGTTGCTTAGGAATGTGAAAAGTGCATGCCCCTAAGCAACGTAGTTAACCCAACCTAACCCCACCCCCTCCCTTGCATCGACATCTACCTACTGCCTCCAAGGCCTTGTCTACACTTCAAACACTGCTGCAGGCTGCAGCTGTGCTGCTCTCGCATTTCAAGTGTAGACAAGCCCCAAGTGGGCCACAGCAGGAGAGGTTCTGCACATCTTAAGCTGATGGGAGTGACGATGTTTAGCAGGTTCTTTGCACTAGAGCAGGGTAAAGTTTGTCAGACAAAAGGTTTTTTTTTGGGGGGGGGGGGAGGTGAATAAAACTAGTTTTAGGTTGATTGACAAAAAGATTTTTGAACTTGGGTTGAATTCAGGGACTAGTTTAGAGAAAAAAATTAGAAAGGTGAAATGTTTTGTTTGGACGGCATTGGCCTGCTAAACCCAGGGTTGTGAGTTCAGTCCTTGAGGGGGCCATTTAGGGATCTGGGGCAAAAAATCTGTCTGGGGATTGGTCCTGCTTTGAGCAGGGGGTTGGACTAGATGACTGCCTGAGGTCCCTTCCAACCCTGATATTCTATGATTAAACCCTCAGTAAAGATTGCAGCATTTGGCTCTTTGGTTTTTAAAGGACTGATTCTGCATGAAGCTGAAAAATGTGAGTTGAGGGTGCTCAGAACTGGAAGGATTGAAGCTCACATTGGTGAAATTCCAAGCATCTCTGGAACTTCCTCTCAGAGCACATGGTACATTTTAGTTCCCACACAATTCCAAGTACTTTTCTTAAATCCTATTAGCCTATTCCATTGAGGTTTAAAGAGCAATTTATTTAATGTAGGCTAAAACCGAATCTCCATTAGCTAGTGATAGTAGCAGTGTTAGATGTTTGCCCTTGTTGGAGACCAGTTCCTAGAGCGTAACATTGTCATAATTGCACACTGCTCTGACCTTTCAGCCAGTAGAAGGCAGTGGTACAAGTTACACAGTGCATACCATCAGCTCCGATCTTACAGTGACGTAGGGCAGTATAAAACAAAGGTGCAAAGCAGCAGAGATAATCAGGCCTTCTGTTGTCATGCTGTCTGCAGTACATTCTCAAAGCATCCTGAACAGGAATGATCCTTGGCATAGGGTTCACAGCCAGTGTTTTGCAGAGCATACACACTGCAGTAAGCTGTTTGGTAAGGCAAACAATCCTAATCATGAAACAGTCATCTACCTACACAATAAGTGGCCCTACCAAATTCACAGTCTGTTTTGGTCAATTTCACAGTCATAGGATTTAAAAAAAAAATTTCAGCTATCTGAAATTTCACAGTGTTGTAATTGTAGGGGTCCTAACCCCCAAAAAGGAGTTTTTTGTAAGGGGATTGCGGTATTGCTACCCTTACTTCTGTGCTGCTGCTGACAGCAGCACTGCCTTCAGAGCTGGGCAGCTGGAGAGTGGTGGCTGCTGGCCAGGAGCCTCGCGCTGAAGGCAGAGCCACCGCCAGCAGCAGCACAGAAGTAAGGGTAGCAATACCATACCATGCCATCTTCTGCACTGCTGCTGGCAGGTCACCCCCTTCAGAGCTGGGTGCCCAGCCAACAGCTGCTGCTCTCCAGCCGCTCAGCTCTGCAGAAGTGAGGGTGGCAATACTGCAACCTCCCCAAAATAACCTTGTGATCCCCTGAAACTCCCTTTTGGGTCAGGACCCAAAATTTGAGAAACGCTGGCCTCCCCTGTGAAATCTGTATAGCATAGGGTAAAAAACACACAAGACCAGATTTCACGGGGAGACCAGATTTCATGGTCCGTGATGTGTTTTTCATGGCTGTGAAACTGGTAGGGCCCTTACAATAAGCAATGTAGTAGCTTATGGTACACTGTAGACTTTTTGGGCCTGTTGTAAAGAAACATGTTTTCAACTTGGCTGCCTGCAAATTGCTCCTGCACAAAAGAACCCTCCTCCTCAGGCATTCAGAACATGGCATTATAGATGGCATCTCATGTTCATTTTTAAGGACAGACTTTTTTGGTAACTCCTGATTTACAGTTAGGATGATGAGCCCGTTACCTCTGTGGGTTCAGTCTAGGGGTGGTGAGACCTGGGTACATTTTATGAATATCATGTCTGACTACATCAGCAGGAAGGCAAATATCCTGGGACTAGCACTCCTCGGAATGGAATCTCAGTGAATATTGCATTGGAAAAGATAATGTTTGCTGTAATAGCAACCAGCAGGAGTCATGTGTATTTGACTCTATAAATTGTCTTTCAAGGGTCTAAAATCATCTTTGCAAACTTCCTCACCTGTAAAAAGAATGAGGAGTGCTTGTGGCACCTTAGAGACTAAAATTTATTTGGGCATAAGCTTTCGTGGGCTAAAACCCACTTCTTCGGATGCATGCAGTGGAAAATACAGTAGGAAGGTGTGTATATACACACACAGAACGTGAAATCTTCCTACTGTATTTTCCACTGCATGCATCCGAAGAAGTGGGTTTTAGCCACGAAAGCTTATGCCCAAATAAATTTTAGTCTCTAAGGTGCCACAAGTACTCCTCGTTCTTTTTGCTGATACAGACTAACACGGCTACCACTCTGAAACCTTCCTCACCTGTGTGATCCAAGCCAGAATAATTACCTCATTCCTGCATGTCCTTATGGGATGATGTCCCCTGAGCCTGGCGATTGCTGTAATAGGTTGGACAAGGCCTTTTCTTGTTGTGACACCTTGGGCAAGTCAGTGCATTTCTCTGTGCCTCAGTTTCCGCATCTGTAAAATGGAGATAAAGAGGTTAACCCGAAGAGCACTGAGATGAAAAGCCCTGTGTAAGTGCCAGGTATTAATTTATTATTAGTGTCAGGTCAAGAACTTGCCCAATGGGATTTCTAGATACAGCAACCCTACCATTGAGAAGTTGGTGGGGCAGAAGGATTTATCATCTAGGGGTTACAATATTTTTTTTTTTAAGCCAAAGAGTCACCCTAGTTATGATAAGACCTTTCTGAGAAACCAAATAGAAACATAAGGCATACGTCAGACAGCCACAGCCCTGCATGGGCTGGCACCAAGCAGCTCCAGAGAGCTCCAGGTGTCAGGTAGGTATAGCTTGCTGCTCCATACTCTCAAGTTCCCTCTCAGGTGCTAATTTAGGTCATTTGTTTCCAGAAGATCAAGTGCATGTCACTAATTAGGCTTGTCAACAACGTAGCATAGGTCAGAGTCGTTTCCCTGCGTACCTTGCAGCCGGTCCACTTTCGAACCACGCCTAGGGATCAACTGTACACGCTCGTGCGCCACACATTGCATTTCCTCACCCTTGTGTCCCACCCCGACACCAAATGGCAGGACTATCTTCCACCTGTAGAGGGCGAGAAGCCCTGGTGGGCCAGCCTCTATTCCAGCTTGGCCCATGGCCTGCCGGGGACATCGGTTGGAAGCACCTTCACGGAGCCGTGAGCACAGGCGTGTATCTGGCACGATTCACCCCCATTCCCGAGGCCTGCCCCTTCTGCGGCGTGAGGAAGAACCTGGCGCACGCCTACCTTGAATGCGCCAGGTTGCGGCCCCTATACTGGCTCCTCCAGAATCTCTTGCTGAGGTTCTGGGTGTACTTTTCCCCCACACCTGTTCATTTTTGCACACCCTATCCGTGGCCCCACAAAGTCACGAGACCTCCTAGTCAACCTCCTCCTGGCCCTGGCCAAGGTCACCATCTACAATACCAGGAGGAGGATGCTGGACGATGGGGTGCTCTGTGACTGCGGGGGCCTATTTCCAGTCTTCCCTAGTCTCACGCCTCCAGGCAGAGTTCTACGGGGCAGCGTCCGCTGGCTCCCTAGACACCTTTGAGGAGCAGTGGGTGCTGTCCGGGGTCCTCAGCTCGGTGTTCCCCTCTGGATCCCTCATTTTGAACCTCTCACCACCACTCCCGACCCTCTTTTTTATTAGTTGCCTCAAGTAATCATTGGGAACCCAGGTCCAGTGGTCCTTCCTGCTAGGCTGGGGGAGGGGCCTTTAGAAGTGATGCTGCACCTCCCAGGTTTTTCCAATAAGGCCCTGTTTGGGATGGTGTATCACTCCCTTTCCTTACCAGTCATGGATGGGGTCTGTTCACCTCATCATGCTATTTCTACTCTAAGCCCTTAGAGAGGTTTTAGCCACCAATAAGCAATTAGAGAAATCTGCTATAATTCTTTCTGCACTCATTGGATCTAACATTAAAATCAGTTGTGATTTTCATTCACTGAACATTGTCTGGGTGGAACTGAAGATGCTCATACGATCACCCTTTGAAAATTGCACTTGTGTGACATGTGCACGCTTAATCTACTCTCCTCCCATTCTGGAGCACTGCAGAAAAAGTCAGACACGTACAGATTTATGTCAGGTGTGTTCAACTCAGTATCCAACTGTAGTTTGCAGATGCACCAGAGTGTGCAGCTCCATCTCACACTCATTCAGTGTGCAACATTGATTATCTGACCTTAGACAGTTTTGCTTTAGAAAAGAGATTCAGAGTTCAGGCCCCAGGATCCCAGCCACAAGAGGCAGTCGTTAGATCAGTTAAACCCATCTACAGAGATCATACAAACCAGCATGCCTAAAGTCACGCTTTCTCCTCGTGCGAAGGCTGCTCTGGACATGCCAGCATTCAGCGTTGCTGACCTTGCAAACACCTACTACAGAGCACAGGCCCCAGATCAGGAAATAACTTAACCACCTGCCTAACCCTAAGCATTGGTATCCCACTGACCTCACTAGGAGTGCTCACATGCGTGAGTGCTTTCCTAAACAGAGGCTAGGGAGATAACCCCACCAACAGGAGCAGCCCCATTGAGTTCAGTGGAACTGCTCTCCCCACTAAGCCGTATGCACCGTATTAAGTATTTGCAGCATCAGGACCAGCTGCATCCATTTCTGTTAATCTCATGTCATCTTTTTCTCCTGTCTTGCAGTCCAGATTGATTTACCACCCACCATGCGCATCACCAAAGGGCTCCCAAGCCTCTTCACCGCTGTCCAGATGCACCTGCATTGGGGCGGGCTGGACCTGGAGACCAGCGGCTCTGAACACACGGTGGATGGAATGAGATACTTCGCGGAGGTACCTGTTTAAGGGGAGACATGCGTCATCCTCATAAAGGAAGGGGTTGCCTTCTTTCCCCTCGTGGAAAAAAAAAATATGCAGGAAAATCCCATGTTAAAAGAAAACCTCTGTTGGCAAACAGCTCCCTGTGAATTGCTTTAAGTGTAGGGGGCTAGAAATCTGGAGCAACGCCACTGAAGTCCATGGGCCTGATTTGCCACCACCTTGGGTAGTCACCTCCCCTCGTTAGAGGAGAATGCAAAGTGGATGTAAAATGCTACCACTGATGTGAGCGAGAGGAGGATTCTGAGATGGTGCATTTTACACCCATCCTGTCCAGATGGGTGCAAAGGAGGTAGAAAAATTAAGGCACAACAAGCAGCAAAATTTGGGCCATGCCTTATTTCTGGCCAGGTTCCATCCCTGCATGCTATGGGCAATAGAGAGATGGAGGCAGGAGCAGGGCCAGCTCCAGGCACCAGCGCAGCAAGCAGCTGCCTGGGAAGGGGCGGTACGTCTGGGTCTTCAGCAGCGGGTCCTTCAGTCCCTCTCGGAGGGAAGGACTTGCCGCCGAAGAATGAAGCGGCGGTGGTAGAGCTGCCGCCGATCGCCGTTGGAGCCAGCCCTGGCCAGAAGCCCCTATAGTTTGAGGTTCGAGTCTGATCAGGCTGTTAGGTTGCAGCCATTGCCAAAGAAACAGACTAATTGACAGAGGAGGGGGTTATTAGAAGAAAGTACTAGCAAGAATAGAGAGAGAGGGATGAAAATCTCTGTTGTTCCACTAGCCAAGGCTCTTTCATGTTGTTTAGAAATAAGACTCCAGCCCTTGACTGTCAAAGGTTCCCCGACTGCTTTATTCACTGTCTGCCGCATGGTTGCTCTTTGCTTACAGTGGCAGGACAAAGTTCACCACATGCATTGTGATGTGTGTGTGTGTGGGGGGGGGGGGGGAAAAAAAAAAGGGCTAAAATTAATCCCCATCTTAGCTGTTTGCCCCAGGGCCCATTCTGTTACAGCCCAGTTCACAAAAGGGAGCTGCCAAGCCTTGGCAGACAAGATCATGTGCAGCAAAGGGCCAGCCCTCAGAAAGCAACAAGGATGGCAAATGCTTTCCCCCGTCTGATGCTTGCAGCTGCGGAGTTAGCAAAGGCAGTTTAATAGGAGCTCAGGGATACGTTAATACAGTTTAATTTTTTCCTTATATTAGGCCTGATCCTGAACACAATTAAATGAAAAGGAAAAACAATGCTCATGGCAGCCAAGGGGGTTTGGATCAGGCCCGTAACATTTGTTTTCTCCAACTGCTCTTTAATTGCAATCATTGCAAGAAGGGGCATCAGATGTTTTTCCTTCCTACTTTTAAAAACCAGGAGGGAATCCCGATTACTAGTAATACAGAGTTATTGGCTCTTTGGTCAACCCTCAGGCCAAACCACCTTTGCAAAACCAAGGTTTGCTGCTGCACAAGGACTCTCTTCAGCATCTGTTCACGAGACTCAGCTCCACAGGCAGCAAGCACAGAAAGGTCTCCTTGCATTAAAGGTCAATGGTGGGACCCTAGCTGCAGCTAGTAGCTTTAAGGAAGAGGAGGAAAGTGGGCATTGCACTAGCACCTAAAGGCCCCAAATGTGAGGAGGGACCTACTATGCTAGGTGCTGTACAAACACAGTAAGAGTCAGTCCCTACCCTGAAGGCTTTGCATTCTAAAGAAAGATTAAATGACTTGACCAAGGTCACAAAGCAGGTCAGTTGCAGAGCCAGGATTAGAACCCAAAGTATCTAAGTCCAACACACCAGCTACTGTGGGCCATGCTCCTGCTTTAGTCACACCTGCACAATCCCAATTGAACACAGATTTGTGATGAAGAATTTGGCCCTAAATGTTTAAGTGTCACAGAGGATAGAAATTGGGTCCTAAAATATTTTCCCATACCCATGTTGCTGAAGCCTTGGGTGTCTGCCTTCAGGTCAGCAGGACCAGGAGACGGTTGTGCACTGGCTATCCCTTCAGTCTGAGACTATTATTTCAAGAGCTGGAGGCAGCAAAACCACAAGTCCCCAGCCTTGGACTGACCTTGTCTTTTTCCCCACAGCTGCACATTGTCCATTACAACTCCGGCAGCTACTCCAGTTTCGAAGAGGCAAAAGACAAGCTGAACGGGCTGGCAGTGCTTGCTTTCCTCTATGTGGTAGGTTGTAGCTCTACAGGGAGAGGGAACAGGTTGGTGAGTAGGTATGGGACATCATTATTAGTAGTAATAGTACTGCAGTAGCATGTAGCGGGCCTAACTGAAGTGTATTTGTTGGAATTGTAGGCGGTCACTTTAAGAACAAGGGTAAGAACTAGCTTGCAGGCTAGGGGGGGCTCTGATCGGAGTCAATCTGGAAAGAACCAGTTTAAAGCTAGGTGGGGTGAATTGTGCCCCTCTGCCTTAGGGAGCAAGCCTGTTCTCTCCCCATTTCGGGGTGCTTGTGTAATTCTGAATGCTAAGGAATAGAGCAGAGTGACACTGCAGCCTTCCAACAGGAGTATTTAGGTTTCCATCTGATTTCTGCATGCATGCTGTGAACACACCACCAACCAGTGCAGAGCCCCACTGGGCAAGGCACTGTACGAACACATAGTAAGACAGCCCCGTCCTTGTAGATTGACCAGACAAGGGGATACAGGGAGGTGAAAGGACATGCTCAAGGGTAGTAGCAGTTAGAAGACAGAATTGGGGGGAGAGGGAGAGAATCCAGATCTCCTGCCCTAGTCCAGGGCACTATTTTCTGGACCACAATGGTGGTGGAAGGTGCTTGCTATAGGTTATTGGCTTTTCAAGGGTCACCGACTGCAGAACACTGCTGAGATGGGTCATCACTCCTCAGCTCATGCAGCGGTCGAAGGCGGACAGAGAACACCACCAGAAGCTCAGTTTGGCCAGGAGGGCTTTTGTGAAGGATGGGAATGGACATTAAGAGTTACCATCCACAGGACATGCCAAGGTTGTTCTTCTGAACTATTTGTTAGACTGTCACTGAGCGCAGGAGTGGGCTAGAGTCTCCAGAGACGGGGGGGTAAACCCCAGCAGGTGCAGAGAAATCCACTCACCCCATTCTCTAGAGCAACATGAGCGCCACAGCAAAAAGCACATTGGCACAGGGGCAGCTCTGCAGCACCCAACACAAAGGAACACAAACTGGAATGGTCACCACAACAGAGTTCACCTGCCTGGTAACAGAAATAACACGATCCGAGTCCTTGCAGAGACCCTGCTTCATGCTTGGAAATATTTCCAGAGTAAGATTTTTGTGGGAGTTCCATGCATTTGAAAGGTTTTGGAATTAAATCTAGTTAGGCACGGAACACCCATGGCAGGTTCTGCTCCCCCCACCCCCAAAGTGCCCCTTTTCCCTGCTCTGGGCAGAGCCCTGTTTGGAATGAAATAAGAATTCATTCCCCATGGCCCATTCAGTCATTGGCCTCTCTGACGAGACTGCCCCCCGTGGCCAGAACATCCTCTCCCTAGCTCTACCTCGTGGCAGGGGATGGCCTTTCAGGCACCCCACCTTCCAGGAAGACCCAGGTGGGAAATGAACTTTCCACAGTCCAGACTACCTAAAGCAAGACTTCCCTTCAGGGTAGGGTTGCCAACTTTCTAATCACACAAAACCAAACACACTAGCTACGCCCTTTCACCGAGGCACTGTCCCGCCCCTTCCCCGAGGCCCCACCCCCCTGCTCATTACCTTTCCCCTCCATCCATAACTCACTCTCCCCCCACTCTCACTGGGCTGGGGGGTTGGGGTGCGGGAGGGGATGAGGGCTCTCCTGGGGATGCAGGCTCTGGAGTGGGGCTGGTGATGAGGTGTTTGGGGTGCAGGAGGGGGCTCCAGGCTGGGGCCAGGACATTCAGAGTGTGGAAGGGGGCTGTGGGTTGAGGCAGGGGGTTGGGGTACAGGAGGGGGTGAGTGCTCTGGGCTGGGGCCAGGGATGAGGAGTTTGGGGTGCAGGAGGGGCTCCAGGTTGGGGGGGGCCAGAGCTCAGGGTTGGGTCAGGGGGTTACCTCAGATAACCCTGCTATGCTGCTGACTGGAAGCTAAAACAGGCTCCATGCATGTCCTAGCTCCACACTGCACCCCAGAAGCATCCAGCAACAGGTCCAGCTCCTATGTGGGGGGAGGGAGGTAAAGGCAGGGCAGAAGGCACCACACACTGCTCTCGCCTGCAAGCATCACCCCCCCAGCTCCAACTGGCCACAGTTCCCAGCCAATGGAGTGCAGAACTGGTGCTCAGGGCAGGGGCAGCACACAGAGCCCCCTGCCCCCCCAACCCACAAGGGGACCTGCTGACTGCTTCCAGGACAGGTAGGGACTAGCCTGCCTTAGCCCTGCAGCACCAAAAACCAGACACCTGGCAACCCTACTTTAGGGGGTCAACATTTTTAAGTCTTTCCACACAATTTCTAGTGACCTTCCAGGCCCAAACCCTTCCTCCTTAGCTAGGGGATTATACAGGCCTCCTTCCAGAGCTCACACAATGCTTCTCCACAGCCCTTTTAAGTTTTCCACCACCGGTTTCACCTAGGTGGTCAATAAGATCTTTCAAAAAGAGAAAACTCAAAACAAAGCCTTCCCAACCCAAGCCCTCTCTTCAAGGCCCCTTGCAGGGTATCATGCAGCCTTCTACTCTATCTTGGAAACCAGCTGGTAAGGAGTCTTCCCCTGCTGCTTCCAGAGGTCTTACAACAACAACCTTCCCACACCTCTAACTCCGTTCTTCATCTCGCTGTCCATGCCTCTCACTTATCTACCCGCAACCTGATTGGTGGGTCATGTGATCCACCAGTCATATGACCTTTATTTTCCCCACCTGGGGAGAAGAGCTGGCTGAGTTACAGGTGAGGCTGACATCCAGCTCTTCTGTGTGGGCCAGCCAGCCGCTGATGCTGCCAGACGAGGTGGCCAGTTATTGGCAGTCGTTTTTGTGATGTAGACACCTGCCCCCTGGAACTGGGCAGAGACCCACTAACTTCATGTCACACAGGCTACCAAACAACCCCGAAATGGCCACTGTGGATGAATCTGAACCAGCCACATTAACGGTGAAGTCTTCATAGTCTATCACCAATCTCCGGAGCCATCCCGACCCTTTATTAATTTAAATTTGCTTTTCCCTCCCATTGTAAAAAAAGCTCAGCTCCATTCCCCCCCCCCCCCCCCCCGAAGACCTTGAGCACAAATTCCCCCAGCTAGAAAGTGACACCCGGACTCTCATGGAATGACAACCAGTCACTCCCTCCCTGGTCACACTGGCAGTTCTATACCAAAAAAAGCTTATGCCTCTCTTTCCTTTGTTCAGTGTGTTTACTTAGTGCATCAAACCCCCAATCCTCTCCCCAGCGCATTGCCGGAGCAGCCAGGGGCTGATCTTTCCCTGCTCAGAGGGTAGCAACTCCTCCCTGGCTCAGGCTTCCAGTCTGGAGTAGCCTGGGGCACATGACTGGTGGATGTGCCTAATGTATTGCACAGAGTGAGCCCCTTGGAACCTGGCTCCGGGGAATGCATGGGATTAGCGCTCCCTGTGCCCCCCTCATGCACTGTCCTCTCCTCATGTCGCAGAACCACACTGCTTCCATTACAGACAGGGTCCGACTCCTTTGCCTGCGCTGGAGGATGAGTAAATTTTTCCTCTTTTGGCCTCTTCTCTTTGCTGGGGGGGGGGGGGGGGGCAGGGGGGCGAGGAGAAAGGTGAAACACGCCTGTGGACCATGATGTGGCTCAGCCTTTCATGGTCCTTGGAGGGGTCTTGTCCCCATCTGAGATTATTTTGAAGGCCCAGGCTCCTCTGGCCAGCAGCTCCCTTCTGCCAAGTGTATGGGCTCCGTACTACGGGCAGCTCCCGCTGGTACAAAGAGCAAGAGTCTGAGATCAGAGCTGTTTAAGGGAGGGTGTCCTAGCCCAGGAGCGGGGGGAGGTGAGCTGATACCCTACCCCTACCACTCTACCCACACCCTTGCAGACTAAGCTGGACAACCACATAGTACAAGCCCTGGGGGAAAGCTGCAAAGTGGCAGATGTTAGTAGGTAAAGCAAGGACCCCGCAGGCACATGGATGTGAGAGCAGGGAGGAGGAGCAGCATCGAGACAAACAGAATAGAAGCAGTGGAGCTGGATGAATGACCGAAAAGAAACGTTACTGGTAAATAATAATAGGGAGGAGGGATGCTCATTTAGGGAATGGAGATGGGATACAGGAGAGTTGGGCTCAACTCCCAGGCCAGCTCTGCCACAAACTCCATGGGTGACCGTGGGCAAGTCATTTAGCCTCAGATTCTCAATGGTATTTAGGCTCCTAGCTTTCATTGAAATCAGCTGCCTGGGCCTCAGTCTCCGCATCTGCAAGCTGGGACCAATAATAACACTCCCTTTCTCCCACCTATTGTCTCTCTGGTCTGTTTAGACTACAAGTTCTTTGTGGCAAGGAGCGTCTCCTGCTAGATGTATATACAGCACCTTGTACCATGGGGCACCAGGGGCACTGGAACCATTTGTATAGTGGGGGTGCTGAGACCCATTGACCCAAACTGTAAACTCTGTCTATACTGGAAACCATTTCAAGTCAGGGGGTGCTGTAGCACCCCCCGCATCCCTAGTTCCAGCACCCATATGGGGCACCCCTCTGATTTGGGGCCTCAAGGTAGGGTGACCAGATGTCCCGATTTTATAGGGACAGTCCAGATATTTGGGGCTTTTTCTTACATAGGTGCCTATTACCCACCACCCTCTGTCCCGATTTTTCACACTTGCTATCTGGTCACCCTACCTGTAGGTGTTATTGTAATAGGAAGAAATTATAACAGAATAACTATTTGCTGTGGGGGCAGGGAAGCCCAAATGAGTGACCGCGGGAGTGCTGTGACCGGCTTTAGGTCATGGAAGTGGCTGAATGCCTGTATGTATGAATGTTCACCGCTCTTACTAACTGGACTCAGAGGTCTGGCTCTCTGCCGGGAAAGGGTCACCCCTCCCTCTCTTTTCTCGCTCTGGGAAGCACAACTCAGCTGCCCACCGCCAGCAACAGAGCATTGTTCGTCTCCTCCAGGCTCCAGACGCTTGAGAGCTTCGTGCTAATTTCAAAGGCCTGAGCGCTGCTTCGTGTTGACAAAAGCTGCAGACAGGGGTCTGCGGTCCTAGCGAGAGATGATTTGACATGGCAGTTGAGATCCCGTTGTGGTGCGATAAAGAGAGGCATAACCTCGCTCCGTTCCAGAGCTCCTGCTGACAAGACGCTTCCAGGCACTGAAAAAGGGCATCTCCCTCTCTTCCTCACACTTCGCAGTTCATGAGAGGCATTGATCAGAGGCTGAGGGGATCAAGACTCCTGGATTCTCTTCCCAGCTGTGGGAGGGGAGTGGTGTCTAGTGGTTAGAGCAGCAGGGACTGCGTCTGGATTGCTGGGTTCTGTTTCTAGCACTGGGAGGACAGTGTGGTCTAGTGCTTAGTGCTATGGGGCCAGAAGGGGCAGGACTTGTGAGTTCTACTCCCAGCTCATACACTGAGCTTAGGGGACTCATTTAGGGCCAAAAAAAGTATAGGACCTTAGGCCCAAATTTTCAGGATGTAGTTGCTTAACATTGGGCATCTAACTCACTACTGAGACACTTCCTGAGTCATAACTGGCTTGATTGTCAGAGGTGCTGAGCACCCACAAATCTTATGGAAGTCAGTGGGACCTGACAATCAAGCCAGTTATTTAGATGCCTAAATACAGACTTTGGTGCCCAACTTTACATGCCCAAAGTTTTAAAATGTCAGCCTTAGTATCTCTGTGCCTCAGTTTCCCCCATCTAACACACAAGAGAGCACTAGGATGCTTTAGTGTGTATGTAAGAGGAGGACACGTGGGAGGAGCCCTGCACCCTCTAAGGCTCCAGCACTCTTGTGCAATTCAGTGCAGGCTTCTAGCTTGAGGATCCATAATGACAAGTGTGGTTATTACTCATGAAAATATCCAGTCCCTGAAGAAATCCAGCGCCAGTATTTGGCTGTGTGAGCTCCTGCCTCAGTGAATCTCACATGCTGAACTGAGCTAGAGCTGGTGCTGGGTTGACTTTTACATATTTTATTCATCAAGCCCTATTCTCTTTCTAGGATGGGAATTTTGAGAACACCTACTACAGTGAATTCATTTCCAACCTGGCCAAAATCAGGTTTGCCGGTAAGTCCCTGGCACCCCTCTCCATTCTTGTTGCCCAAAACGTCAGTACTTGTAAATGCTGGGTACATCTGGGCCGAAAGGGAGACAGCCCAAGGGGAGAGAGGGCAGGGCAGGTGAGCTCACTGGGAAGCTCTGTTTCATTCTCATGGATAAGGTCAGATAGATCTTGGCCTGGTTGGTGAATGGCATGGGAGACTGGGATTATTATTTGCCTGGGTTTAAGATGCAGTGACCATTGCAAGGTCAGATGTCTCATGAGCCAAAGGTCACATATCGCTATCAGAACTTAACATGTTCGTCCTTGTCGTGCATGACAGGACCCAGGTCTGTGACTGACCCAGCCAGAGGTCCCAAGCTGATGGGGACTTTCCCTTTCAGTTGTAATTTACCAGCCCCACAGGTGCCCCATGCATTAGCTCATTGGGTTCCATGGGCTTTGCTGGACCCTGCAGTTGTTACTGGGAGAAGGAGGGGAGGCTAGTAGGCAGCTTGCTGCATTTTTTAAAAAACAAATTACCGGTATATATCAAGTTCCAGTTAAATAACTAGGTAACTTCAGCCATACCCCGATGCACACCTCTGCAGCATCTCTCCTTCCCCACACATGGAGGAAACAATGGTGCTGATTGCAGAATCATCCTTCCATTCTTAAGCAAGCCATGACATCCTGTTAAAGGGAGGGACCTCTTCCTGCCTCCACCAGAGCTTGCGACATTGAAAAAAAATAGTCTCGCAAAAAACAAAAACAAAAAACCACTACAGCAACCCAGTCTTAACACAATATGCTGGGCTGTTGGTTTGGGGCTGCCCTGGGATTTCCTGAGCTGATTCCCATGGACAGGTGAACTCACCTGTGTAATCAGGTCTTTCTAGTGAACACCAAACTGGTTCTCAGTCCACCAAACCCACCATTGCATTATGTATAGGGCAAATTCCATAGGGAACTTGGAGTGTCTAGAATCATAAAAAATATTCTTCTTCTTAATACCTGGCCCTTATATAAAGTGGTTTTTATTTTCAAAGTGCCTAGAGCAGGAAAAGGGCTATTAAATCAGCTTATCAAGTATGATTATTGTTATTTATCTCTATTATAGTAGCACATATAGACTCTAGCCCCACTATGCTAGGTGCTGAGGTGCTGTACAGACTAGCGGTGGTAGAAAATTTTCATCAAAAACAGGTTTCCATCATACCATGTCCTTTCAACAAAACGGAAATGGTTGGGTGAAAGTGAGTAGCCATTTTGAGGAAATTTCATTTAAAAAAATTGGAGAAAACCTATTTTAAAAACATCAAAACGTCTTTTTTCAACATTTTCAGAACCGTTTTGACTATTTTTGTTTTGAAATTTATTTTGTATAAAAAATAGAAAAGAGTGAAAAATCTAAACAAATAATTTTGCATTTATTGAAATGAAATGTGTCAAAGGACCTGAAGTTAATTTTAGTTTTTTGGAAGGTCATTTCATGAAAAATGTCTAAATTTTCGTCTTGATTTGGGATGAAGATTTTTTCTCAGGACAGAAAATCTGTTTGCAGTCAGCTCTAGTACAGATGTAACAAAAAGACAGTCCCTGTCCATCTGCTTTTGCTTGGCTCTGTCACTGGCCTAGTTCCTGGTGCATTTTGGGAAGAGATTTGTCAAGTGTCTGTCCACAGCAGCCAGGATCAGTCCTGTGCTTTCCTCTCCTTGGTCATCATGTATCTGTGTTTCGTTGCCTTTTTAGGGCAATCAACCAAGCTCAGTTCGCTGGATGTCCAAGCCATGCTGCCCGAAAACCTCTCACACTTCTACAGGTATCAGGGTTCACTGACCACACCGCCTTGCTCGGAGAGCGTGATCTGGATAGTTTTTGATTCTCCCATCATCCTATCGCACACGCAGGTAAGGCCCCCTCTGCTGCTTGCCAGATGTGAAAGCCTTTCCTCCTTCCAGGCAGCCTCTCTTTAATTTTCTCCACACCTCCACGCTCCCTTGTCTGGTGCTTTCGAGGGGACTGGGGCAATTATTTGCCACGTTACAGGGCCATGTGGAGGTGTGTGCGTCTATGTGGCATTTTGTAAAGGAATGAAGTCACAGAGAAGCATGAAGTTGTAGTGATGTCTTGACATAATAGTGCTCAGTCCTTCTCTAAGGCCTTCCATCCAGGAAAGTCACAGTGCTTTACAGACAGGAATGAATGTAGCTTCCCTTTATGCAAGGTAGGTCAATAACATTATCCCATTTTACAGCTGGGGAAACTGAGGCAAAGCAGTTAAGTAACTTGGCCAAGACCACAGTGTTAATCTATGGTACAGAACCCAGGCCTCCTGATTCCCAGTCCCCTGCTCTTAGCCACTAGTTGTAGCTCTTTCCTGATGTAGGGGGATGATTTTCATCCTTTCCCACTCTCCTGTGTTCTTGGGAAGAGTAAGGTGTTTACCCCTCTCTGTCCCTTTTCTGGCTGCACAAGAAGCTGGGGCTAGATCCAGGTAATATTGGGCCATTTGCTTAGCACTGCAGCATAGCGAACACGCCTATGACCAATGCTCCAATTGCTTTACCTGGCACTCACATGTGAGACTCTATGACAGACCCAGGTGGCTGATCATTGGCTTATAGATTTAGGGTTATGAATGCTCAACCAGTCACACTGCTTGACAGAGGCAGTGTGGTCCAGTGGTTTGAGCATGCTGCTGGGCGCCAGGAGCTCCCACATTCTAATCCTGGTCCTGACAGTAACTCAGCATGATAATACTTACTTGCCTCATGGGGTGTAGGGAGAATAATATTTGCCAGGCCTTTGAGGGTCCAGTCCCTGCTCTGCCACAGACTCCCTGCATGACCTTCACCTCTCTGTGCCTCAGTTTCCTATGCCAGCAGCTCTCGACCTTTCCAGGCTACTGTACCCCTTTCAGGAGTCTGATTTGTCTTGCATACCCCCAAGTTTCACCTCGCTTAAGAACTATTTGCTTACAAAATCAGACATAGAAATACAAAAGTATCACAGCACACTGTTACTGAAAAAATGCTGACTTTCTCATTTTTCTCATATAATTATAAAATAAATCAATTGGAATATAAATATTGTACTTACATTTCCGTGTATAGTATATAGAGCCAAGTCACTGTCTGTATGAAACTGTAGTTTGTACTGACTTCACTAGTGCTTTTTATGCTTTTGTAAAACTAGGCAAATATCTAGATGAGTTGATGTACCCCCTGGAAGACCTTTGCGTACCCCTGGTTGAGAACCACTGTCCTAGGCCATCCAATGGGTATAGAAAACACTGACCATGACTATTTGAGAGAGCGTCTGTGTGAGGATCCATCTATTTGCAAAGCACTCTGGGCGATGTGATGCACTGTAGTGCACATTATTGGTGTTTGGCTGACCACTCCTAACAATCGTTGTAATCAAAGATGGCGGAGAAGCTTCTGTGATTTATTATTTATAAACGGGCACGAAAAGAAACCCAATATAGAAGTGTCATTAATCATACGACTGTGACTGTACCTATTGGAATTAGAGAGTGCTGGCTCGTATTCTCTCGTCTGCTGCTTAGACATCCCCACTCAGCACAAGCCAGACTGCTAATTCAAAGGGTTTATAGTCTGAGGTTATTGAATCTCTAAACTCTCTAGGCCAAATTCAGCCTTGGCATGAACAGGTGCGTCTCCACCCAGAGCGACTCTTGGCCTTTCCCCCAGCCAAACTAGCGGTGCAAGAGTGGCAGCTGCAGCCACATCTTGCAGCCACAGTGGTTTAAGCTAAAATCTCTGTACAGTACAGCACAGATTAGCTGATGTCTGGTAAGCACAACAAAACTCCCTGCTCAGTTAAATGCAACAGGGCCAGAACCCAGCAAAAATAAAAACAGCAAGGAAGACCAGCCAGAGCCAACCAGCAAAACTGCTGAGGCTGAGTCTTTGCTGGATACAAAGCCAGGAGCATAACGAATTCGCCCACCAGCAGGCCCTGGGGACCAGATTAAAGATAATTACAGAATAATAATTGTTATTTTTAGAAAAGTAACTCTCTCTTGTTTATATTGGCTGTGTGTAAATAGAGGCGTTATTTCAGCTAGGGGCCGGTGCAGGTTTTGTCTGCATACCAGACGAACATTGGTCCAGACTCCAGCCTAGGCATTAGGCTGTGCTGATGACTCCACGCTGCACACAAAGGGGAACTGTTGATGAGTGATTACAGGTGGCTCCTGTACACCCAAGAGTGATCAGACCCCTTCAGGAAGGACGGGACGCTGCCTCTTGTCTAGATCTGCCAGGGCATTTAGCATAGGGCAGAGACCCAGCATAAGCAACATCAATAAGCTGAGAACACCAAGGAGCTTTAAATGATCAATTATTTTCCTTAGGTAAATAATGTGTGTAACCTTCTCTTTAAGACACAGCAGAGACAGGAATGGGGTGTGTGTGATTGAGGTGAATTTGCATCTAAATAAGGGGCTGTGCATTCTAATGGGGACAGTTCAAAGGCTCCCTGGCAGTTGTCGTTAAGCAAAATAATAGGACTCATTGCAAAATCCCCATCACATGCATAGCCTGGGTAGGTGTCAGAACAAACTTCCTCTTCCACTTAGTTCAGCCATTGCCCCTGAGTCTGACAGGGGCCATGCTCCTGTTCTACTCCGGTGTCCCTTCCCCTTGCTCATGCACCTCAGTTCTGACATTGCAACACCCTGATTTTGGGCCTCTACACACTGCTGCTGGGAACGAGCCTCCCAACCCGGGGAGCAGACTCACGCTAGCGGGGCTTGAGGTAGCACTAAAAATAGCCCAGCTGACCCCGTGAGTCTGTCGAGCTGGGGGGGGCGGGGAGGCTCACTTCCAGCGACAGTGTAGACATACCCTACGTAGTGCTGCAACTGCAAGGACTCATTCGGCACGATACCGCGTTATTGCTCTGGTGAGGGGTGTTTTTTCTTTCAAAGAGCTAGCCACCCATTTCCCCCTCCATAACAAGCCCGTGTTGCTTAAAGATCAAGCTGCTGGAGAACACCTTGCTGGACTGGCAGAACAACACCCTGCGGAACGACTATCGGCACGCTCAGCCGCTCAATGACAGAGTGGTGGAATCATCTTTCAAGGCCAAAGGCACCAAAGGTAAGAGTGGGGCTGGGACCGGGTGCCTGGGGTAGAACATAGCATCAGAGGGGTGGCTCCAGGTAGGGCGCAGGCCTGCAGGCGAGGAATGAGAAACCATTTGAAGTGAGTTTAATTTGCAATCAGTTAAGCAGGGCAACCCACGACTCACACTCAAGTAGGGGTTAACGGTACCCTCGGCCTATGGGTAAGGAAAGGTGCAGGGGTGTAGTGTGTCCAATTGCCATGACATCTCCAATATCTACTAGCAGAAACAACATGATCTAAGGTACTTATGGCTCTTATTACTGTAGTATCTGAGCGCTTCACAATCTTTAACAGATTTATCCTCACAAGCACTGTGTGAACTAAGGAAATATTATCCCCAATTTAGAGACAGGGAGCTGAAGCACACAGACTAAATGACTTGCCCAAGGTCACAGAGTCTGTCTGTGGCAGAGCAGGGAATTGAGTCCCAGGCTAGCACCTTACCTACTAAACCATCCTGCCTCATCACAGGCAAGGATAAGCATGGCCAGCACGGCACCACTGACTGAGCACCCACAATCAAGGGATTTTTTGAGAGAGAGAGAGAACTTTTTGCATGTTGAGCCCCGTGCAACATGAACTGTCTGCCAGTCCAACAGAGGCGAGTGCTAATGCTATTTTAACAGGAGGTGCCTGGAAGTGAGACCTGGCACAACTCTGGGTTTGTGAGAGTTTGGAGTCTGTATGATGCATCACCACTTGTGCAAGACCCAGTGTGTTTGCTGTAGCGTAGGTTTGGACCTTTCTCCCAGCACCTTTGACCCCCAGTGGGAAGAACATTAGTAATAAACTAACAGGGACATAATTTCAGACACAGGCAACCTAACATGTTAAAAATCTCTCTCCAGGTTCATAGGCCACTAGACAAATTACCTTTGCTCAGTGTGTCTTTCATACAAACCATATTGTGGAATGCTTTGTGGAGTTTAACAGCAGGAAAGAGAGAAGGGGAGAGAGGGACACACACCCAGGGAGAAATGATCACAAGCCAAACCCAGGCTAGGTGTAGACAAGAAGGGTCAACCCATGGGCTTAGTCTACACTACAAAGTTTTGCCGACATAGCTATGGTAACTAGGAGGGTGGGGGAAGGAATCGCACCTCCTAACCAACCCAGCTACGCTGACAAAATCCCCCGTGTAGATGCAATGATGCCAGCAGAAGAGTGTGTCTGTCAGCTTAGCTAATGGTTTATCTGTGCTAGTGGAACGCCCCCTTCTGTCAGTTTATGCTGTGTCTCCACCCGGGGGCTCTGCCAGCACGGTTGTAGCAGTATAGTTATACTGTTCTGGCACCTGGTCCCATGGAAGTCTGTGGTAAGACGCTCACTGCTGTCAATGGGAGTAGAACTTGGCCTGGTGGTTCCCATCAAATGGTGGCAGTTTTGGCATTGTTCGCTTAACAGATGGCAAAGATGAGGCCATGTAGCCAGGAACAACTGCCCCTCAAACAATTCCCCACCCCAAGTGGTGCACAGGGGAAAGAGACCCCAATTTAAAAGGGAGGCGCCCCAAAAGCTCCTGGTGTTTGGAAGCTGGAGAAATATCCCAGCTGACCATGAATTGGTGTGTATCAGTGATTGCTGTTCTCTCACTGATCTAGAACTCTGTCTGCCAGAAGAACTCAGCTCAAAACTGGAGCAAATACAGACTCAGCTCCAGGAGATGAAGAAGCATCTGCTGGCTAGAGTGGGCCTGACCGGTAAGAAACTTCCAGCCACTTCTATTTCCACGAGATTCACTTGAACAGGAAGTCACCATCTATATCTCCCCTTAATGGGGAGCCCACAATGGCTCTGCCCGTGGATGCCTCAGCGTCAGCGGGTGCCATGTGGACATACGAGTAGAATTTGGTCCTTTATTTGGTCCCACTGGAGAGCTTCCATCAGTCGTAGCATAACTAAGCTTACCTTAAGGCCAGCTGTTAGACAGCCACTAACATCCCACTGCCCTACTCTAGTGGCTCCAGAGATCAGCACATGAAAGAATTAAAACTCAGAGCATCACTATGGTAGCATGGAGTATTATTATCCCCATTTTACAGATGGGGGAACCTGAGGCATTGAGACTTAAGTGACTTCCCGAAACAAGTCAGTGAGAGAGCCAAAAAATGAACCCAGCTCTCCTGACCACCGTCCTGGCTGTGACGACAAGACCATCTTTCCTCCCAAATCAGATCCATCTTTTGGAGGATATGAATTTAATTTCCAGACTCACCTCCTCATTCACAGATACCCCCGCGTAGAAATCGGCTCCTGGGCATATATAGGTGGCATCTGCTACATTCATAAAGTCATGGTTTCCAGGAATCACGTCCCCTTTAATCCTGAGAGGCTCATTTGTCAGGCATTTAGAACCAGCAAACTAGTCTCGTATCAATTGGAAATCTATCAAGAAAGATGGGCCACGCCTGGACCTTGTCATCTGAGCTGCCTGCCCCACACAACTCTGAACGTTGGGAGTTCAGATTAATTGGGACCTGGATCCAAACCACTCCTGGTTTTGATTTACAGAACTACATATCAATGACATCAAATTGTACCCAACTCTACCTGAAATAATCATTATAGCCGGGGGGAAAAAGGTGCATTGGACCTGAAATACACTTTACACCCCCAAATATCTGTCCACATGCACATACGATTCTCCCCCCAACCTCACCTTGTTTACTGGTACCTTCTGGTATGCTGGCCTGTTGCAATGAGAAGTTATTCTAAGAGAAGCCTCCTGAACCAACGTTGGAAGGATAGGCCAATCACAGCAACATCATTTATGGAAAGTACCACTCTTTTTGGGGGGGTCAAGGGGAGGGAATCTTAAGGATTGAAGAGAGAAAGATGCACAGTTGCAAAGTTCTCTGCCCCAAATGAAGGTCTTTCACATTCTCCTCTCCCCCTGTGCTCCGTTACATGATACCATCCAGAATCTACAACGTTAAACGCCTCTTTTCTTCTTTCTTTCCCAATTTTCTGAGGGATTTTGTTGCCCAGGAAAGTGAGGAGTCAGTAGTGTATCACCTCCTCCTATGCCTGTCCATTCCCAATAGTCCTGTGTTATCCTCTTGGCCACAGTCTCTCTCCTCTTCCTCTGAAGTCTCCTCAAATCCAGACTTAACACCCAGTGCTTTTGTGCTCCTGCAGTTCTTGGACCACTCACAGCTGCTTGCATGTGAATTAGTGTCAGGCCTGATTGTACTGGAAGGCGGCTGAAATTCTTCAAATACAATTTTTTTTAAACAAAAAACCACCTTTATTCAAAAATGAAAAATTGTTAAAAACATGGTTTGCTTTTCAAATGTTCTGGAGGTTTTTTTTTTTTTTTTGAAATGTCACCTGAAAATGAAACTTTCCCTTTCTGCCACCCTTCCTTTTCTACTGGCAAAATGGAAAAAAGGCATAAAAGGCAGAAATTATAAAAGAGGAAGGAATGAAAGGAGTGGGAGAAATAAATCCCTCAAATTGACTTTTTTTTAAAAACAAAAAAAAATATGTTTTTGCACAAATTTTCAAAAAAAATTTGAATGAATGAAAAACAAAGTGTTCCTTTTCAAAATCTGTGGAACAAAAATTATTCACATTTTTCTGGAATTTTTTAAATGAAAGATCTTTACCACTTTTTGCTCAGCTCTGATGGTATCAGTCCACCTTTCTCAGCGCTTCTGGGCTGGGTCTTTGCATGTTAAAGCATTTGGGGTAAAATGCCTCATGCACTTTCAAGGCAGTAAAGATAATACAAGTAGAACTAGCTGAAGCCAGCTAAGACTCTGGCATAGCTCTGTCAATGCAGCTGTGTGCTGTGTCCACACCTGTCCTTGCCCTCTGTAGATGTAGGAGAGCATGTCTTTAAAGTTACATAACGGCTGGTTGATGTTTGGTTTTTTCAGGCCTTAAATCTAGTGCTTTCCCAGCTTTCTACTTCCCTGCTGAAAACATCGCAAGCTACGTGGCCGTCCGGCCCCTCCGTGACATGAAGCTCCAGGCCTTCACCTTGTGCTTTTGGATCCAAGCCCTGAACCGAGGCAGTCAGACCATTCTCGCCTATTGCACCCAGGAAAGAGACAATGAGCTGGTGGTGACTGTGGGCTCGGCCGTGGGGCTGTGGGTAGGGGGCCACTTTGTTGAGTTTCCCCTGCACCACAAGTCTGAGGAGTGGCTCCACTACTGCGTGGCATGGGCTTCCCACTCCGGGGCAGCAAATCTATGGCTCAACGGAGCGGCGGGGAGAGAGAAGCACCTCCAGAGAGGGTACGTGAGCCAGGCCGGAGGGACGCTCGTCCTTGGGAAGGACAGAGATGAGCTCCTGGGGATCTTCTCCAACGGATTCTCCGGGTGGATGAGCCACGTCAGCCTGTGGAGCTGGGTCATCAGCCACGCCGACATCCGGGCGCTCGCCTCGTGCAGGCACAGTGAGCTGAAAGGGGATGTGATTGCCTGGGGGGAGACCCCCATGAGTCTCTCGGGGGGAGTGGTGCTGGAGTCAGACCCCAGTTGCCAATGACAGCAGCTTGAATGGGTCCCCTCTTTCTGAGCAAATGGGGAAGCACGTTTATACAGTGTGTGATTTTTCTAGAGCACTTTGAATAACTGGCCGTTTCTCCTTCTGCTTTAAGTTTAGAGTCATTAAACACGCATCATAGTGTGACACGCAGGGCCCAGACACTCTGAGGGGAGAATAGAAGGTTTAAACCCCAAAACAGAGCAGTCAAACCAACTGATTTTATACTGTATTAACGTGTTATAAAGGTCTAGTGAGTAAGGTCTTTTTTGGATGGTTGTACTGTTCTTAAGTCAATGATCATTATTACGCGATATGTCTACAGTCTGTGGTTAGGTATATAGAAAACTCTGCTTATAATCTATAGTACAGCTACACCTCCTCCTGACATCCAGGCAGTGGGCTGGGAGGGACTGCTGCCTCTCCAGCCAGCGGAGACTAGCCCCAAGCACCCAGCATTGTACAACCCAGGGAAAGACAAGTGATGGGCCATTAGAGTTAATGGGAAGACACAGCTATCCCGGCTAGAATTCCTGCCCCCCATGAGTAACCATGAGTCAGCATGAAGGAGGTGGTACTCTGGGGTACGTTCCAAGTCCCCAGCAATAGGTAACTTGTATTAGAAAAGGGATTTTATCCAATATAGAAACGCAACGCCTGCAAGGGCATCTTTATGTCGGTCTACTGTGTGACTTGTATGAGTTTGCTCTTTCTTACTATTTTATCTTTGGATCTATGGTTCTTCTATTAAAATAAACCTCCTGTTTATCTCTCCCCCCCACCCCCAGCAGGTCACTGTGTGGAGTGTGCGTGTCACAGTCAGATGATCACTTTGGGGCTGCTTTCACACCTTTGGGGGTGACAAACTAGAGGGGGAAAGCCCAAGTGTCTGGTAATTACGAACTCGGGAAGATGTTTTTGGGGAGACTTGGGACCGGAAAGGCTGTTGGCGTCACCCTCTGAGGAGTAACGAGGCTGGGGGGAGTCCGGGTGAGACCTTGTGCTTGTGGGCTGCTTACTGGGCTCCAGGATTTGAATCAAAGCCCCAGAATAGAGGCCCCCGCAGTTACAGGGCAGGGGGTGACAAAACCTCTTACCGCTCTGGGTGATCCCCAAAACGTCACCCACACAGCTTTGCTTTGTTTGCAGGGAGCTGACAGGGGTTAAGCCCCCACATTGGGGTAGTGGTGAGAGGGTGAAAGGAAAACTAGAACACCATAACCACAAGAAGTGAGGTTCTTACCCACGAAAGCTTATGCTCCCAATACTTCTGTTAGTCTCAAAGGTGCCACAGGACCCTCTGTTGCTCATAACCACAAATGACTCTCAGACTCAAGCATTTGCCAGCAGTTTAACCTGATTGATGTAGCTGCTGCCCCTTAGACAAAAGAAACGTGCACATGTCTCTCCCATATACAGCAGCCTCACGCATGGCCTTATCTTCTTCCATTCCATCGTTCGTTCATAGGGGCTGGGCTACCATCTCTCCATCCATTACTTGCCTCCTCACCCCTTCTCTGGGGTGGCTTTTCACCATCTTCTCTATGCATGGGCTCCCCACTTCTCATGCCGGCATTGCATCCACTCACCCCTCACGTGGGAACAGCCCCATCCTTGCGTGGGTTCTCTTTCACCACCCCAGGGATCATTCCGTCCCCCCGAGCATGGGATTATCTCGGTCCACTGGCCCTACGCAGTCATCACCCCAGACTCCATCCCATTCCAGGATCGTCTCTCCTGGACTTGGGTTGACCTATGGGCCAAGCCAGACTAAAGCCCGCGGCTGTTGATTGCCATCAAACCCCCATTCTTTCCATGGTCAAAAGTTTGTTTTTTCCTCTAAAGGGAAATAACTGAAAAATAAAATCTGAGCATGCAAACAGCCTGGCACCTTCTGCACATGCTATCTGCATGACTGACCCCTCCAGTGGATTACTGCAACAAGTCTGTTGTCTCCTAAGAATTTTGGAGCTACGCCATAGCCATTTTGAATTTCCAAGGCCAAGGATAAAACTCTGATCCTCCTTCTCTAGGCAACTGACAGGTTCAAAGATGCAAACTGACCCCTTTCACCAGCCACAACAAAACAACACACAAAAACGTTAAAGATTAAAGAAAACAAAATTCTATTGTTGCATCCACACCTGTACTCTTTCCTCCACCGCAGAGAGAACAAGTCACACACAAACCCGGTATATTGCAGGGCTTGATTCTCCTCTCACCTTAATGGCCCCAGTAGCATTACTCTGTATTTGTGCATGCGCAGAATCTGGCCCCATGTATCACAAGAACATTTTTCCTCCTCTCTTCCAAGTGGAAGTAGAACATTCTGACAGCAGTAAAAGAACAGAAAACACATGATGCGATCAACTCACACTGGGGGGCCATGTATTGGACAGGTATGGTCTTTAAGGGTTTGTTTTCATGTCACAAGAAAATTTACATGCGTTTCATATATTCTTTTGCTGCCACTGTGTGCTAAATAAGTGACAGTGAATAATTCTCCTCTGATTCCTTCATAACACCTTGACGTTACTAGAGGACCATTTACCACTCATGCAATTACCACTCATGCTTCTGGTATATTTTGTTAGAAGCAAAGGTTATTTCTTCCCCTTGTAAAAGTGACAGCACAGTGCCACCAAGAGGGGACCAGATTTCAAACACTTCTGTCTGCAGCTGCGTTTGTACCTCACCGATTTGGTCCAATGCCAATAGAAAGATTAATTCCAGGACCGCTCCAATCTCTGTTGGAAGAATTCCTTACTTCTATACAACTTCTCAGGGCTTTAGGGGTTTTCGATCTTAGAAATGCTTTGCAGGAACAGTTGATTCTGGCAGCTTACACTTTATGGGCCTGATTCTGCTCTCACGACAGCATAACTCAGGCATAACTCCTGTGACGTCAATCTGTGAAACTGGTGTGGGATCAGAATCGACAGTCAGAGAATCAAAGTCAGACAGTGGCATTTTGTGGTGGGGTGTGTGAAATCTGTAGAGTCATTTCTTCCCCTTCCCCAAGAAGAGTTGAGCCGGTTCTGATGTCTACATCATGCAGATGGATTCAGGTTAAATTTTCACTCAGTCCTTTGGCTGACACTTCAGGACAGGTTTTCAGGCTTCCATTTTTGTGTCAGCAAATTGTGGGTACAAATAAGGTCACCTAGAGGTACCTGCCTGCACCTGCAAAGATGGTACTTAGAACTCCAGGCACCATCATTTACTTACATATCCAAATTATTTTAACTGCACCTGGAAATATATGTTGGTGCTAAAAGCTTAAGGCCTGGCTGAAAAATCAAGCCTGCTTCCCCTTTGAACATCCAGGCAGCACAGCCCTGTATGTGTTGAAACACCCCTTTGCAACAAACAGACTGGACCTGCAGACTTAGCCCGGCTCCGTTTCTAATTTGTTTTCTTGTGTTTTCCTATCAGATTTAATACTTATCATTAGGCTCCATGACCAATACCAGGGTGACCAGCAGCAGACACTGGATGTGAGACTCACTCATTAGCACACTATCTCACTCTCACACGTATCTCACTCATTTTGGGTAAATATATAAAAATTTAAAACATTTATACTCAGGCGCTGCAAGAGACAACAATACAGCCAGGGCCTCTTTGGAGATTGGAAAGCTGTTTTCCAAGCTTGTGTACGGTGGTAACCATGGAGACAACAGGCCCGCGAGAAGAGAAGAGGCTACGCGGGATTTGTGTGTGTGTGACACACTACTTGATGGTCAAAAAATATGACTTTTCCCAAAAAATGAGCACGACTTGATCAAAAGTTTGCAGGTTCTGCCAAATACAGTTCAAAATTTAAACCCCACTGGACAAATTCATGTCCTCGGGGATCTCCAACCATCCAGGTCTTGGTTCCAACTAGCAAATAGTTGTGTTTATTAAAATCCACTGGTTTGCGTTGCATATAGAATTCCCGTGTGCCCTAGACTTTAGTATGAATTAGGACATCTGAGCATTTCATATGCAATATTAAGCAGTGTACATTTTAAAAACAAACTATTAAGTGCTGGTTGGATTAAAAACCTGGACTATCGGATGTCGCCAAGGACCAAAGATGAGAGTCCCTGTCTTAAGCAATGACCTACCACACCACCTGGAAAGTGTCACTCTTTGGGGTTGTAAAACTCCCTCTTAAGGACAGCCAACCCTTGGCATCTCTGCTGCAGGTAGAATTTCATTGCACCCTTCATCCCCAGCCCCCAGTGGTAGAATTGGCCCTCAGCACCGCTCCCACAGGCCACCTAGAAGGGTTACACAACAAGCGCGAGCCGGCCGTCCTGACAAGGCCCTCGATGGACTGAGAACGTTTGCGACGAGCAACCATTTGCGATGCAGAGACCTCTCTCAGCCTGCGCCATAACAGCCACGTGCAGAAGTTTTCATCCAATCAGATTTATTTACCGCTACAAACCAATCGGTCCAGCACAACCTAGTAAGAGTCCTTTCTGCATTAAGGGCTAACGTTACCCTCTTCCTCACCAATTCTTTCTGGGGACCTCCCCCTTTCGCTAGCTATTGCCACTTCAAGGATCTTCACACTTCTGCCTGATGGAGCTTTTGCCCACTGGCTCTCAGAGGCACCAGCTTCCTCGGTCTGGTTAGGAGGATTACAGCAGAGGGCCAATCACTCAGTTTTCATTGGGTGGCTCGTTAGGCAACATTGGCTTGAATGGTGGAGTGGGACAATACTTCCAGTGATGACGAAAGCCAGAGCGCGTTCACAGGGGCTCACAGCCTGCTTGCTTGTCACAGACCTGGGAGGGGTCTAGTTAGCGCCAAGCTGGTTTGTCCCAGCCCTGCTATGTGTGACGGAAACTGCATTAGGGATAGTTAACTGGACAGGCAGCACCAGGGACAGCTTTAGTGGGGGTTCATGGATTCAACGGCACCCACTGAAATCATGAACCCAGGGGTGCAAAACACCCAGAGTAGCAGGGGGAGGGAGGAGGAGGAGCTGCGTTTGCTCCTTTGCTGGGAAGTCACGCATGGCACCATAGCTCGGACCCTGCATCACGGTGGCACCGCTCCCGGCCACGTCACTGCATGATGTTGTGTGAGGCCCAAAGAGTCAAATCTGCCAGAGGGAGCACCGGGGCGATACCCCCGTGTGTCCCAGTCTCCAGGCAGCAGGGACGCAGGGGCGGGGTGTTAGGCTTATGGCGAGAGCTCTCCCCCCTCTGCGCAGCCAGGTCTGGATGCCCCACACTGCGTCCCAGGTGGGGTCTCTCTTGCTGCCGGATGAGCCCTAAGGCAGCCGCACAAAGCAGGTCCTGAGGGTGGGCCAGGGCCCCTCACTGACCCACTCCCTACCCAGCCCCAGAGCATTCACTGTACCAGGCCCTTGGTATTTTTTTTGTTTTGTTTCGTACCAGAATGACACCAGAGTTATGCTGCTCCCATTGAACTGGCAGCCTACATCCACCAGGGGACAGCACAGTCTACTGGCCAGAGCAGGGCTGGAAGGTAGATGCTTGTGGGATCTAATCCTGGCTCTGCAAATGACTCTGTAAATTTCACTGCCTCAGTTTCCCTATCTGTAAGACAGGGACAGCGATACCCGCCTCTCCAGAATTTGGACTAGTTTACAGAGCATTTTGGACATGCTCCTTAAGCATTAAGTGACAATTTTTTGCTGGCTGAGAGGCAGGGGCCCCGGTTAGCTCAACCTGTGAATGCAGAGAAAGGAGATTAATTTTCTAAACCCAAACATTACCACCAACATTCATGCTAGTGCTGGCAGGGAGCA